AACACACAGCTGCAGTACGAGTTCACCAGAGTTACCGTGAAAGAGGAGATGGAGCTGTTGATGCAAGAAGACAGTGACGGTCAGGAACAGGAGAAGGATGCAGAAAATACCCAGGAGGAGTGTGAGGAGGGAGCGGAGGTGTGCACAGGTAGGACAAACTCTGAGTAAACCTTGCTATGTTCAACGTCTTTGAAGACAAACATATATATATATATATATATATATATATATATTTATATATATATATATTACTGATTTAGTTCTTTTGGAAGAGACAAACGTATGCAATTTATTGACAAAATGATAGTATTGCCAACCGATATTAATGGATGATGCTAATGCTAATTTATGTAATAACGGTAAGAATCATTATCGGTAATAAAAACCCCGACAACGCATTGCCTGGGTTTGCCCAGGTTATGTGACCTAAAACAGTTTTGAAGTGAAAGTGAAACTATTATTTGTATTGTCATTGTGACAATATATATTATAAATATATTAACCACCAGCCTGGTCTCAGTCAATTCCATGGGAATTGCTCTATAAAAATATATTAATATATATTGATAAAAATATATTAATATTAATTATTATTAAAGTGCTATCTATCTATCTATTGAGAACCTGATAACATGTATATTTTTATCTGTACAAACCAATGTATGAGTTGCTGCCACCTAGTGTTATCATTCAAGCATTACAGCAGTGGTACACTTACATAAGTCCCTAATGGCACCCCCCCCTCCTTAAAGCGCCCCTTTAACCCATACATAACGGCTCCATACGTCGGTATCAGTTGATATCAGAATCGGAAAGTACGTGGACAATAGTGGCACGTAACGATAACGATAAACTCAACTCGCTAATACAAAATGATGCGCAATTTAATGTTAACGGTGTGATTTTATGTCAAATTTTTATTTGACACAGAATGAGCAAAAAACCTTTATTGGTGAGAACTATGCAAAATACCAATTACCAATTAAATATTTCAATCAGTTGATATTTCAACCCATACGAACGGTCATGCGTTTGTATCGATTTTTAACAGCGTAACGATGCATTGTTACATTTTTATTCATCAGAATTTCATTGGCTTATGCCAAAGAATCGCTGATGAATGTTTTGAATCTACTGTCTTCTTTATTGCTTGACAGCGTAACGATGCATTGTTACATTTTATACATCAGAATTTCATTGGTTTATGCCAAAGAATCGCTGAATGGTTTGAATCTACTGTCTTCTTTATTACTTGTCATTGTCTTTTTTTTTTTTTTTTTTTTTTTTTAAAAAAAAAGCATAATGTGCTTATTAAAGAAAATATATAACACAACAGTTGTTTGCCATTGATGTGTTTCTTCATTTCTCTCCTGCTTAGGACCAACGTCTGAGTTCTATCCGTGTCCTCACTGCACTGTCTCCTTTACTGACTTAGATTTCCTGGAGAAACATGTCAAATGGGTCCACCAGAAACAGTATCTTGACAAACTGAAAAACTGCCTGTCGAGCCGCGCGCTCAACCCCATTCCGAAACACGCTTGCACCGTCTGCGGCGGTTCCTTCAGCTCCAAAGTGAAGCTCAACGCGCACATGGGGGAGGCTCATCCGTCCGCGCCACCTCGCAGGCTCCACACATGTCCCACCTGCGCACGCAGCTTCCAGTACCTGAAGAATCTGAAGAACCACTGTCAGCGCTGGCACAACATGTCCGTTGTCACGAGGGGGGGGCATCTCAGCTGTGCCAACTGCGGCAAGAGTTTCAAGGCCACCTGGGGCCAAGGGCCTCACATGTGTCACGGGCCGGCTACCACCGAACCGGAGGATACGCCGATCTGTCTGGACGTGGGCGTATCGTGTCTAGAATGCGGCAAGAAGGTGCGCACGCGTCAAAGTCTGCTGGATCACATGCGGACTCACACGGGCGACCGGCCGTTTGTTTGCAAAGACTGCGGCAAGAGGTTTGTGGAGCATAGAGGTTGGCGGCAGCACATGATGATCCACACGGGGGAGAAGCCCTTCAAATGTCCGCTGTGCGAAAAAGCCTTCATAAGGTCACACCACCTCAAGTCACACTTAACCACCCACTCCGGCAAGAAGGAGTTTTCTTGCTCGCAATGTGGGAAGGAGTTTGGCTTCAAGTCGAGTCTGGATCTCCACCTGAGGACACACTCCAACGAGCGGCCCTTCAGCTGCAGTGTGTGCGGGAAGAACTTCAACACCAAGAGGAACCTGCGGGTGCACGTCAAAATCCACAGCAGCGAGAAGGCTTACCAATGTGGCGACTGCGGGCTGAAAATCGGAGACATCGGGGCTTTGAAAATCCACCTGCGCTCACACACCGGCGAGAGGCCGTACCACTGCACCGTCTGCGGAAATAGGTTCATACGACTCGCACATCTACAGAATCACCAACGCACCCACACCGGAGAACGACCGTACAAGTGCACCGAGTGCGATAAGAGCTTCACGCAGTCCGGGGATTTGGTCAAGCACAAGCGAATACATTCTGGGGAGAAGCCCTTCGAGTGTCCCGACTGCCACCGCTGTTACACGTCCTCCGGTGATCTGGGCAAGCACAGGCGAAGTCACACGAACCTGCGACCGTACGCCTGCCAGGAATGTGGGAAAAGCTTCCGCCTGTCGGGCCATTTGAAAACGCACATGTTGACGCACACGGGGGAGAAACCCTTCTCCTGTCCCAGCTGCCTCCGCAGGTTCGCTCGCTCCCACCATCTTTCGGGACACGTGGCTAAGTGCCGTTAAGGTTCCCGTCCAGTGTTTAATCTCGATGTAGAGTCTTCTAGGTTATATCCAACCGTTGTGTTCCACTAAAAGACTAACTTGTGTGAATGATCATGATAATGTACCCCTTCTCTAAGTTGGAGGACTGCAACACTACCGGGGCGGATCGTGTCAAATCGTTTTCTCTGTCACTAGTAGTGGTGTTGTGTGAACACTAACAGCAATGCCGTGAAGAATCGCAGCAGGCAGGATTCAGTGTAACATAATAATAAGAAGTTAATAATAATATCACCAGTGGTACATAATAATAAGAAGTTAATAATAATAATATCACCAGTGGATGATCCTGCAATATTTGTAAAACTACTTAAAAAAAAAATCATAAACAACTACTTATCAACTCTGTGTATAACGCTGCTGTTTGATGAATCACCAAAGATAAACCATGCAATAAGGATAAAAAAAAACCCAAAAAAAAAGCTCCAGTAACAAATTATTTCCCGTATTAATATACTACCAGAGAATTGCAAAGTTAGAAAAAAAAAAAAAAATCTTGCAAAAGATCTTCACCATCTCTTATCTTTAGAAAAAAAAAGAAAAAAAAACAGGTCTTATCTTGCCAAAGATCTTCACCATCTCTTATCTATCATCTGCTGCCACCTAGTGGAAGAGTGTATTTCGTTGTTTTGCCTTTCACTGCCGCGTAGGCAACGAAAGGCCATTTCTGTGCAACTGGAGTATAAACCCTGATGATCCAGATTTTAGAAAGGCTTAATGAGATTCAAAAGCACTTTTAAAAGGAGGCAACTGGACTCACCTCAAGCAAATTGAAGACGTTTCAGTTTACTTGAGGTGAGTCCTTAGTTGTCTCCCCAGTAAGTAGAGTACGTAACTCGCATTTCCATTCAGGTAACACCAACGACCCCCACCCAGAGGACACGGAAGGGAGAACGATCCACCATGGCCAACGACCCGCATGACGTTAGAACTGACGAAGCCTCTTGGGTGAGAGGCGAAGATTCTTTGAGTTACGTTAGAACTGACGAAGCCTCTTGGATGATTCTTTGAGTTACTTGAGGTGAGTCCGGTTGCCTACGTTTAAAACTGCTTTTGAAACTCGATCTGTTCTCCTTTTAATTGGGTTTCAGAACTGGCTGTGGGTGTGTAGCACTTCTGTCTTTGGTTCTCGGCTTGCGCTGTAGTGTGCTGTAACGTTAATGACCGAGCTCAATATTTTGAAATTGTAAAAATTAAATTGTGGACTTTGTGGGAAATGGCTTTGTAAACTTTTGTGCGTGAAGTCAGAGCTGTTTCTGAAGACGTTCTGCAGTGATCGATCCCATGTTTGGTTCTACCCTTTTTAGTTATAAAAACAAGTAGGTGTAGTCATCAATCCATCTTTATGCCGACTATAGTTTGTCAAATGCTAGTTGCCTCCAAAACAAAAAAAGCTAAACATGACTCACCGTTTACATACAGTATTTATTCAAACACAATCAATATCCCATCTGTGAAAATCAAAGACGCTGCATGTCCCGTACCTCTGATAGTGATCTCCGGTCTTTGTTTTCCACCCTGTGTATCCCATCTGTGAAAATCAAAGACGCTGTATGTCCCGTACCCGTTTGTTTTCCACCCTGTGGCCATTCATATGTATGCTACTCTGTAGATAACGGTGTCCAGCATCAGCCTTGCTAAATATCTCCTCTCCAAATTCTCGTTAACCCGAGCCATTAGCCACGGGAACAAGTTGGTCTCCATTTCTCTTTCCACGGGGTCGTAAAAGTAGCCGTTAGTCGTGAGCCAGCCGAAGGCCATCGGACAGAGGTCGCCCAAGTACTGAAGGGTATACGCCCTTGCGGCAATTTTGTCGGCAGCTTCTTGTTCTCTGTCCAGCAGCTCCCTCTGTTGGGCAACAGTTTGACCCTTTGCCTCTCTGAAACATCTGTCTCGCTCTTGAAGCCGCCGTACCTTGGCTGCCTCCCCGGCCTGGCGATTCAGGAAGGCCTTTTGTTGAGCTCTGAGACAGGCCAGCTCCTCCTCCTCCATCACCTCCATCAAAGACTGCTCTATTGTCTTGCACGTGATGACGGCCACCACGGGTTGCACCTCGAAGTCGAAGTCAAACAGCTCCGACTGCGCCTCGAAGTCTTTGCCGGTTTTGGCGGGTATCAGGGGTGGGCTAGGTGATTTGGGCCTGTACGTGTCAGTCTGGGAGTCAACGTCCTCGTCTTCTACGATTACGCACCACTCGAGGAGATGAGGATCCGTTTCTACCTCCACATACGGTCGGGGTTTTAGGGGGTCAGGAATCTTGAGGTATCGGACCTGCTGCTCTCTGGCCTCTCTACGAGCAACGGCTCTTTTGTGGACTTCTGGTTTTAAGCGTAGCCTGACATATTTGTACTTGGTTGGAGTTGGTGACTCTGAGGATGAGTTTCCCGCCAGAACACGGTAGTCGTACATGATGTTTTTAAATTTAGAGTGTGTCAGTTCATGTGGATTTCTGAAGACTATCTCCTTAGAGATGGGCTGATTGGAGACGGTGTAAACACCGCTCGGCCGTCTTTTAGGTTGCATATTAAAAGCCATGTTGGAAACTGATCGGGAAGACCAAGAAACGTAACTTTCAGTTGACTCATCTTTCGGTCCAGAAAATCCACAGTAGTAACAGAATGATGATGTCACAACTTTTAAGGCTTTGAAGTTTAACATTTTGTCTAATCTTCTTATTAGGTCACCATGAAAGTCATGGTGATCCTGAGGCCGACCTGTGACACAAATGTCAAAAGTGAGAATGGGTTCCCACATTTTTTGGACTGCAGCCAAATAGTTCAGATCTCTAGTTTTTTCATTAAATGTTTCAGAAAACGTTGTCATCCCAAATGATTCCTTCCACCTTTTCTCTGAGAAAAAATACCTTGGTTCCACCTTGACTTAAGAACAGTTCTATAGTGTGTGTCCTACGGATGTATGGAATAATTAAGAACCACTGCGTTGAACTGACATCTAGTCACAGGCCACATGTGGGTGGTCTGTGGGCTGCAAGTGGCCTGTGGGTCGGGAGTTTGAGTCCCCTGCTTCCAAGGTTAAAAAAAGTCACGATGGCGATCATGATGACTTTTTAGATAACACGACCTAAAGATTTTTTTTAAACCTTCTGAAGTGAAAGTGAAATATTGTAACTGATGCTCAATGAAACGTGACCAATCACCATAGTGATCACAGGACACTTTAAGCTGTCCACCCGGGGAGCAGTGTTCGGGGACGGCGCCATGCTCAGTTGCACGTCAGCGTTCATAGCTGCTTATCTGTTTTTTTTTTTGTTTTTATATAGCCATAGTTCTGATTCAAACTTGCTTTCTGCATTATGCTTTATATATATACATATATACATAAATACATATATATATACATATATATATACATATATATGTATATATGTGTATATACATATATACATATATGTATATAT